AGTCTCTCCCAGGATTGCCATAGCGCGCTTCAGGGGAAAGCCGGTTAACCTGAATGTCATCGTTGTATATGTTCCAACATTACATGCGGAAGAGCCCGTCAAAGACGACTTCTACAACCAAGTTCAAGACGTAGTGAATCGTAGGAGACTGGAATGCACACATTGGTCAATCAGACGAACATACTCGGCATGTTCTGGGAAAGTTCGGCCTTGGTCAACGTTGCGAAAATGGTGAACGCCTAGTTACATTTCCTGACCTTAATTGACTGGTCGTGGCCAGCACTCGTTTTCAGCACCCCAGAAAACACATGCTCACGTGGTACTCAAATGATGGCCGAACGGTACACCAGATTGATTATATTTTGGTACGTGCTCACTGGGCCTCTTCGGTAGAAGACTGCCGTTCCTATCGCGGCGCAGAAACTGGAACGATACAGACCATACACTTGTACGCGCCCGCTTCAAGATCCCTCTCACTACTCGCCGCCCGGGCAAATTCAACGTCACGCTCTTGGAACGACCTGAAGGAAGACAGGCGCTGCTAGACACAACCGCTTCTAACAGCCGAAACTTTCTTTGCTGACTCAACTATCGACGCACAGTGGTCTACATTGAAAACGTCCATCAGAGAAACGGCGCTGGGGCAGTTAGGTGAGGTTCTTCGCCACAAGAGAGACTGGAACTCCGATTGTACACTGCAGTTGTCCACAAAGGCAAGAGAAGCGCGGCTGATGAATTCTCCTGAAATTCCTATTTTCCGTCGCCAAGCCACCCGCTCCGCCAAGAGTGACCGTAAACAGTACTGGAAAGCGACTGCAGATAGTGTGGAGGCTCCGACCGTCACAGTGGACTTTGAAAAGCTTTTCCGTCTAATTCGTGTCGCAGCAGGAAAGAGGCAGACATCGGAACCACTTGCGTAGCACCACAGACCAACTTATTCAAAGTTGGGTTGAACACTTTGACAGGTTGCTCAACCGATTATCACACCAAACTGGCTCTCTAGCAGTTCGGAGACTTATGACATCAATTGTGACCCACCTAGTAAGACAGAAACCATCAATGCAGTCACCTCTCTGAAAAACAGGAAGGCCTCTGGAGATGATGGAATACCACCAGAGTTATTTGAAGCTTGCTTACCGACTCTGATCGATCTGCTGCACCCTCTTTTCCATACCGTTTGGGAAAGAGAAGTTTTTCCAAAAGAATGGACGGCTTCCATTCTAGTCCTGGTCTCAAAAGAGGGTGACAGATCTAGATGCGAAAATTACACGGGTATTAGGCTAATTGATATTGCGGCTAAATTGTTTGCAGTGACAATGCTTAATCGCTTCGCAGTCGTCAGAGATACCCACACTCGCTCGAACCAAGGGGGATTTCGCCGCGGAAGAGGCTGTGTTGAACAAATCTTCAATCTCCGTAGAATTCTAGAACACCGCTACAAGTTCCAACAGCCTACCACTGCACGTTTCATTGACGTCCGCGCTGCGTTTAACTCTGTAGATAGAGAATCCTTGTGGTGCATATTGCGGTCCGACGGGATGCCTGAGTTCATCGGACTGTTAAAGTCATACTACTCAGGAATCGGGGTACGTGTCCCTACCTATGGAAAAGAATCAGTTGAGTTTATCCTAAGCTCTGGAGTCAGGCAAGGTTGCCCCCTATCGCCGGTGTTATTCAATTACACCGTACACTGGATAATGCGACAAGCACTCATCGAGTACCCTGGATTGCTGACCTCGAGTTTGTGGATGATGTCGTTGTACTTTGAGACAGCATGGACAACCTCCAGCCTGCTGTCAGTTGTATGAATCAGTTTGCTCAGTCCATTGAGCTAGAGATCAACACGTCGAAAACGAAGACATTTTCGACCGAAACTTCTACCATGACAACCCCTGACGATTAACGGGGAGCTTGCCGAATCAACCGAAGTTTTCAAATATCTTGGCTCCACGATAAGACCAAATGGCCAGGCTAAGGATGAAATCCAACTCCGTGAAGATGGAGCTAGAAGAGCCTTCCTGTAATTCCTTAAATCGTTGTGGAATCGATGCAGAATAAGCTTAAACACTAAGCTTCGGGTTTATCAGGCTTCCATCCGCCCAATCCTTACTTGTGGTTGTGAAACCTGGCCGATATGAGTACAAGGAAGCTCGAAGTCTTTGATCATTGATGCTTACGCCGCATCTTGAAAGTAAATTGGAGAGATCGGATTTCTAAAGATGAGGCTCGAAGGCGCTGCTTGGACATCGAAAAGCTTTCAAAAATGCCACGTCGGCGCCTTCAGTGGTTTGGCCATGTGCTCCGAAAGCCCGATACTCAACTCTCGCGACAGGCTGTAGCCCCGCACCGTGCCGTGGATGGCGTTGCTGACTCGGTGGTCAACTGAAGACCTGGAGTAGTACGATCAAGGCGGATTTAGAACTACTGGGTCTTCAATCTGTATATGGAATTCGCAACTGGAACCAGAACTGGGTTTCTCACTGCGCCAACCTTGCTACCGATCGTCATGCATGGGCCGAGATCATTAGACATCCAGGAAGCCAACTTATCCTCCCGCAAGAGTTAGTCGATCAAAAGTAAATAAATGAGCAAGATCACATTGTCTTCGATGTTCTATAAGTTGCTTCAAGGCGTCTTCCGCAGCTGGTAAATTGGAACCTATAATTACCCCGCGTTCTTTATCAGCCTACATTCGACCCCGCATGGAGCGTGTCCACAATAATGGTCAATAGCTGCATCCAAAGACCTGCGTGGAAAGACAAGGAGCATTGGAGTTGCCCTCCAAACAGTATTGTCGAATTCGTGAATTGACTCTGGTATCATAAATAATGCCGAATCCTGGTCATCCATGTCGTTCACTGTTCACTTTGTAGCCCAAAATTCCCCTTAGGTGGTATTCGTTCAAATTATTGATCCAAAATTGTCGACTAGAATATCGGCGTCAATCATTGCCCTCAGAGTGTGTAGTATCTCGACTTCCCTACCACCTCACGTTGTTTCTGAATCCAAAATTGATTCTTGCAAGCATGGACTGAAAGAATAATTTTCAAGTCATAAATTTCGACATCCGCCGAAGAACACGATAAATGAAAATCTGACATTCCTAATTTCCTTGATCGGTAAATGGGACAAGAAGCGACCGCTTGTATGTTTTTCTGATAATAAAACTGACTTTGGAAAATCCCAGTCAACCGAGCCAACAGAAACCTAGGACACAGTGGTGAAAACAGTTGGCGAATACAAGACGTAGTTAGACAAGGCAGCAGATCGGATTGTCCGTCTTTGGAACTAGACGGTCAAACCGCAAGACAATGCGATGGGCAAACTGAGAGTACAAGCTAAACTGAAACCAAGTAGGGCTCAAATTGTCGAAACAGACTTTCATGACACTGTTAACAAACTGTTGAATGTAAATGTTTGGTTCTGTATAATCCTATTTACCTCCGGTTTACATTGTTTTTCCAATGAACAACTGTCCTTAGTCCGACACTTGTCATATGCAATTATCTAAAGTGATATCATAGAATTGAGCACGATATGATCAAGTTTGATCGTTTTAATGGGCTAGTATGATAGGTCCAAAAGTTTAGCTGCTTTAACGAAAACAGGTGAACCCACAAGGCACGAATAACAAAAACATCAGTGATCAGAAGCGATATTGTAAAATCAATGCAAATCGATCAGTAAGTCAATCAATCATCTGATTCAGAACGTTATTGTCGAATAGGGATAATCGCGGCGAAGAGCATCAAGTTCACATACAAGGGAGATGTTGTAGATATTTGAGGACGATAGGTGGGAGCTAGATTGTTGTACTCTCGGAGAAAAACTGGGGAAAAATGGATTGAGTGACAGTAGGATGCGCTGGGGTCGTTTTTCATTTTTTTCAGAAAAAATGTTTCACGCATGTATATGTAAACATTGCGGACAAGTGGATTAAGGACTCAATGGACAAGAACGAGGTTTCGCAAAACAGGATGGGTCTGTACAGGGCCATACATGCATGCAGAGACAATATATTAAAGTGCATGGGGCCGCGCGGAGCGTACAATCAGACCACTAAGAAAGACACTGCAAGGAGAGGCGATGGATGAGCAGAGTACAAACAAACAACGGAATCAAATTACAAGTCTCCGATATTTTCTTATTTCTGGGAGGAGGAAAGGGTTAGAAGTGGCGTCAAAGTTCGGGGACCCATGAACAACAGTCACTGACAGCGAACGGAAACAATGGCAACCACAATACGATAGCGAGACTGTGTTCAAGATTGCACGAGAAATGAATTATAAAAGTGTGCGTTTGTGTTAACGGAAGTGGTTGATTCAAAGGAAGCGACAAAACATACACACACACACCAGTTTGAGATTCGAGTCCGAAGCAAACGGTCAATGGAAGGAGGGGGTGCACGCACGAGTACGCCACGCACTCGAAACAACAAGGATACTCTTTCTGCTCCTCTATTCCCCGACCGCGAAAAGAATAAAATGAAAAGAAACAGACAAACGGGAAAACAGAAGAACGGCGAAGTCACGATTAGTGCACAAAAGTGAGTGGGATAAGGCCACTGGGTGACAAACAAACTTGTGCATGTATGCATAAAAGCATACACGCACGCACATACCCACGCACAGTCGTGACAGCACAATAGAAAGTGGCAAGTTTTCTCTCTTTCTCTCTATCGGTTGTATACACTTAGTTGTTCTTTTACACAAATACGGACTGATATAATAGACGAGACTAGCGTGAGGTGCGTGGGACACCTTTCACGGTGGTGTACGCAGAAAAAGAAAAAGGAAACGAACAATAGGTTACAGGAAACATCTCACGCCAGAGAGCACTAACAGTGTGATAGAGATAGAGACTTCATTTTTCGAATTTCAAGTATCTGTCAATACGAGCCAGAGGAAGTGGTTCGAACGCACCGTTAGAGAGCCGCGGAAAATGATAAAAGGAAGGAAACAATAAAGAAAACGGCTAGGAGCAAGAAAAAAGAGTTCTTCTCATCTTCCCCGTTTGATTCCATCAGGATGGATTAGTACTCGACCAGGAGCAGATCCGAGGGCTGCATCATCGATCCGATCGGAAGTACCCTTGTTAACAAAAATAAAGGAAACGAAAGTTGAGTGTTACGATAGATTGAATAAATGAGCTGAATCAAAACTCAACTTAAGGATAAATAAAATCAAACCACCATGAAGAGTGTTTCACCTTCACCAATATGCACACTAAATGAGTCTTGTAGATAACCGACCGTGGTCGCGAAATGAGGCTGGAGAGGCCGTGACCAATGAACTGTCTGTCGGACTAGTGTCATGTGATTCCGGACTATAAGACACTGCACTCGTTGTACCCACTTGCCGAGGAACGTTAGCCAGCATTGTCGGTGAAGTACAAGTTGAATCACTGGATGAAGAACTAGTTTCTGAGTTTGACGGTGTGGGCGAAGGCACACTGACCAGTTTGGACGGTACAAAGCACTGTGAACACGAAGACAACAGATTGATGGACAACCAATTTGACCCAACTATAATAAGATATGAGATAATTTAGGTAGCCATTGAACAGTAATCAAAGGCACGATAACAACAGCATAATCCAGATTAGACAATAGCTGATTACACGGTGCACCGGTATTCTTCCGAGAGATAATATTAAGCATTAGTCGTTGAGAAATCCAGTCAGTATAAATAAATTATCTGAATCAGAAACCCAAACATTGTCATACCGATCGAACACGAGTAACCGTCGTAATTCTAGATATCACAGTATCCTTTCAAAGCCTCGACTACTCGGTGTGAATGTCTCCGAAGACCTGGTAGTATTGCGCCAAGGAGGAAATCATGAACCTTTATTCTTTTTATAAAGATAAGTGTACCACGATTTGTTTGGCACATTCTGAACTCAGGTGTGTGAAAAATAGAAATAAATAGTACTATTTAACAGCTGGCACAGGGGCGAGTGAGATTTTTGGAAGGAATGTGAAGGCCGGTCATAGAAACCACAGTGCCACAGTATGGAGAGAAACCAGGCCAGATAGTGCTGAAGTTACTTTTACTACTCACTCAGAAGCATTCGATTACCGCGGACTTCGCATTTGTCGGGAGTTATATGCGATTCATTATAAACTGCGACCAGGAAGTACTCTCCTAAGGACCAACATATCCCCA